GATGGGATTTCAATTCCGGCTGCCGACAGCTTCTTACGGGCGACCCCCCAAACAACATTTCTTTCTTTTTTGTGCCGACATGACTCGGGAGGGGACAATCACAAAATACAGGGAGAGGTTCCAGCTCATGTCAGGGCGATTGAGGGATATTTCGACAGCAGGACTGAAGGGGAACTTCTTGAAGTATTTGAAACCCAACATCCGAGCGGCCATCCGATCATTAAGACTGTGGATTGAGGGAAATAATGAAACTTGCCTAGATGATGAATGACAAGAAACAAGTGAAGTAGACAAATAAGGGTGACAACATGGGAGGATTCTACAAGAGTGTCTCTACAACCATAACACCGATGACCCAGACGACGTCATTTTAGAAAGAAACGCCAAATTAGAAGAAAATGGAGACTCGTACCGGGGGCAATTTTAAGTGCCTCATCGATGTGAAAGTATAGGATAAAAGAGCAAAGGACTATATTATTGATATGACGAGATTTATGCCAAAGGCCATCGTTGCAAGGAGCACGCCCTTCAGATCTTGTTAGTTCAGGAGGAGGAGACAAATTGGTAGGAATCAGAGGAAGACGCAGTGGAGGAGGAGGAGCATCTGCACTTGGATGTAGTGTAGGTGTCCCCAATTCAGTGGTATGATTTACTCTGAATCACACTATGAAAGAGAGGGGATGATCGGGGAACAGCCGATTGTAGTGCTGGTGGATAGTGTGTCACCCATAACTTCATCTCGAATCAGGTCATGAATAAGTTAGGGTTGGAGTTGGTAGCTACAGGGAGCTTCAATGTCATGATGTGGACAAAGAAGGTAGAGAAAAGTTAGGAGACTAGCAAGAGGTTGGTTCTAACACTACATGACCTACTGGTGGTGAAATACTTCGTTCCCTTAGACTTGGGTAGCACGGATGTGATTTTGGGGATGAAGTAGTCGTAGACGCTTGGGAAAATGAAGGTGAACTATAAACCCCTTACTACGGAGTTCTAGGTAGAGGATAGAAAGGTGAAACTGAGAGGAGATGCTAGCATGCAAATTTATAGTCTAGCTCAAAATCATGGTCAAGTTGATATGGGGAGCAGGGATAGGCTATTTAGTGAGTTGCAGAGCATTTAAGAGGTCAGAGAACCCGAGTTGGCGGAGTTTCCCGAAGGGGCCCAATAACTCTTATTGCAATTTACAAACATCTTTCAGCAATCAAGCGGGTTACCACTCCCGAGGGAATACAAGCACGATATTACATTAAAGAAGGGTTTCCTCTTTTTAGTTTCAGACCATACCGGTATCCTCAAATTCAGAAGGATGAGATAGAGAAGTTGATCTGAGAGATGCTCAAGGTAGGGGATTATCAGACCCAGTGTGATTCACTTCACCAGTCAAGTCCTATTGATGAAGAAAAAATATAATATTAGAGGCTTTGCATGGACTACCGAGCTTTGAATATGTAGACAGTGTTGGATAAGTTTCCTATTCTTGTGATTGGTGAGTTGTTGGATAAGCGTTATGGGGCATTCATCTTTTCGAAAATAAATCTTAAGTCGGGATACCACCAGATAAGGCTGAATCCAGCAGATGTGCACAAGATAGCATTTAGGACACATGAAAAACATTACAAACTCTTGGTGATGTCATTTGGCCTCACCAATACCCCAACCACATTTAAGTCTCTCATGAATAGGGTTTTTCAGCCCTACCTTGAGAAATTTGTCCTAGTATTTATCGATGACATTCTGATCTATAATCAAACAGAGATAGAACATGTGGAACACCTGAGGACAGTCCTAGACAAGTTAATAGAGCATCATTTGTATGTCAATTTGAAGAAATATTCCTTTGCACGGCTACAGGTGGAGTACCTAGGGCACACAGTGACCAAGGAGTAGCAATAGACTCTTCCAAAATCAAGGCTATGATGGAATGCGTTTTACCTAGTAGCTTGAAGGAGTTAAGGGGATTCCTAGATCTCATCGGATATTACCAAAATTTTGTGAAGTGTTACAGCCACTGACGAAGCAACTGAAGAAAGATAATTTGAAGTGGGGAAAAGCCGCAACACAGGCCTTCGAACATCTTAAGAGAGCCATGAGCAATGTACCAGTGCTATCACGTCCAGATTTTAGTAGGTGGTAGAGACAAATGCGTCAGGGTACGGACTGGTAGCAGTGCTCATGCAAGACCAGTGGTTGCCTACTTCAGGCAGGTGCTCACCGCTAGGGCGAGGCTCAGGTCAGTGTACAAGTGGGAGTTGATGGTTATAGTATTGGCTATTCAAAAGTGGCGACCCTACCTTTTGGGGCGACACTTTCTTGTCAGAACAAATCTGAGGAGCTTGAAGTATTTGTTAGAGCAAAGGATGATGACTGAGGAGCATCAAAGGTGACTATCCAAGTTGTTGGGATATGATTTCAAGATTCAGTACTAGCTAAGATTGAAGAATTAAGTCGTAGATACCCTATCTAAAAAGTTAGAGGAGCCCCAGATGACCGTTTTATCGGTACCTTTGGTCCTATATTGGGAAGCCATGAGGCGAGATAAAGAGCTGAGGAAAATGAAGGCATAGTTGTTACATAATCCAAATAGTCATCTAGGATATGCATTGAGGGGACATCAGCTACTCTACCAGGGGCGATTCTTGTTATCAAGGGCATCGAACATTCCCGAACCGTAGGAGTTTCATGGTTGTTCAATCAGGAGGCACTCCAGGATGCAAAAGACATACATAAGTCTATCGACAAAGCTTTACTGGGTAGGGATGTGCGGAGAAGTAGAAGACATGGTGGCATGATGCGATGTGCCCCCGCTACACAAATACTTGACCATTGTGCCCAAAGGGTTATTACAGCCCTAACATTACCGAAGAAGGTTTAGGAAAAAGCAACAATGAATTTCATAAAAGAGTTTTCACGATTAGAAGGGTTTAGGAAAATCTTGGTGGTAGAAGATCATCTGAGCATGTATGCACATTTTATTCCATCATGACACCACTACACTGCGGTCTCATTCATTATGGTGATCATATGAGAAGTGGTATGTTTGCACGGAGTGCCGGAATCAATTGTATCAGACAGAGACAAGGAGTTCCTCGGTCAGTTTTAGAAGTTGTTCAGCTTACAAAGAACAGTCCTCAAGAGAAGCATAACATATCATTCTCAGATCGATGGTCAGACAGAGGTATTCAACAGGAGTGTGGAGACAAACCTATGATGTTTTGTATCAAATAGGCTGAAGCTTTAGGCCAAGTGGATTGCGTAGGTCAAATACTAATATAATACTACGTACCATACAAGAGTGCAAACCACTCCTTTCAAGATCTTGTATGGGAAGAATACACCCCACCTGATACACTAGGGCATAGTGTTACACCGATATCCAGTGTCGACCAGTACTTAGAGAAAAAGAACAGAATATTGGCGGAACTTAACGGAAATCTACTGAGAGTTCAACAATCATAAACACATGGACATAAGAGAGAGGTGCAGTTTGAACCGTGGACATGATTTACTTAAAATTAAGGCCCTACAAGCAAAGGACATTGGCAAGGTGGAGGAGCGAGAAACATTTACCATGATATTTTGGACCTTACAAGATGACGACATGTATCGAGGCAGTGGCTTGCAGCTTGAGATTACTATCATCATTAACACTACATCCAGCCTTTCATGTTTCACAGTTGAGGCGGGTGATCGGAGATCATACACCCTAATTGTCACTACTCTCAATGATGACAGAGAGCCTGCAGGTGATTCTAGAACCTTTAAAGGTCGAAGGAGTGCTTCGAGGGGCAGGAGCGAGGGAGGTACTTATTGAGTGGAAGGATCTGCCAGAGAATGAAGCAATGTGGGAACCTTACGAGGTGATGTGAAAACAGTTTTCATCATTCCACCTTTAGAACAACGTGCTTATTTGAGATGGGAGTATTGTTATGTTGGTTAGTGAACCGGTCAAGGCGAGACCGGTCAAGCATCTTCCAACTGGCCCATCATAGCCATCTCAGGGTCAAACGGTTCAGCAGGC